TTTAAACTTTTTTACACTTACCGAGGCTTGTTTAATGGCATAACTTATGGTCTGTTGGAGAAATGTGCCATGTGCACTTGAGAAGAATGTGTGTTCTAGTGTTAGGTGGAGTGTTCTGTACATGCCTGTTAGATCCAGTTTATATTGTTGTTGAAGTCTGTTTCCTTGTTGATCTTCTGCCTAGCTCTTCTGTCCATTGAGAGTGGTGTACTGAAGTATCCAGCTATCATTGTTGAACTGTCTCTTTCTCCCTTCCGTTCTGTCAGTTTTTGCTTCATGTAGTTTGGGGCTGCTTATCATTTTTTAGTGTTGTTCATCATTATAAAATATCCCTCTGTATCTGTAGCAACATTTTTGTTTTCAAGCCTAGTTTGTCTATTAGTAAAGCCACTCAAACTTTCTTCCTGTTTCTGTTTACATGACACCTTCTTCCATCCTTTCTTTCAACCTATTTGTATCTTTGAATCTACAGTGTCTCTTTTAGACAGCATATAGTTGGATTGTTTTTATCGAGTCTGATCTTTTGACTTGATTGTTTAATCCATTCACATTTAACGTTATTACTGGATTTACATCTGCCATTTTACCTTTTTTCCAACATCATGTCTTGTTTGTTCGTCTATTCCTCCTTTACTAATTTTTGCATTAATATTTTCTAGTATAACATTTTAATTTAATGACTTTTGCACTCAATTTCAGAAAATGTAATTGAAAAAGTAGATTCAAATTCCCAGAGTATTCCAAGTATACTTAAGTTTTCCCATAACTGGATCAAATCCTCAAAAATCATTAAAAAACTTTTGGGATCTACATCAACAAAATTCATTTCTTTCTTTCATCTTTCATCTAAAAAGATAAATGTAATTAACTTTGTAGCAAAAGCTTGTTAATTTCTCTCCAAATTAAGAACTTTTCTACTCAAGTACTAATTCTTGTGTCAACTCTAAATTGACATCAAATTCAAAGGGGTATTTGCATAATTTGAAAAGCAACTCTAAATTTATCAACACCAAGTGCTCTTCAAATTTTTCTTGTAGTTTTTGCAGCTGATTTACAAAATGCCAGTTAAAATTTACACGTTAGAAAATGTACAAAAATCAGTATTCATGATTTGTATTATGAAGTTTCAACATAAATTCCTGTACTTGCCTATGAGGGTCACAAATAAGCTTTTCCTTTTCTTGGAGCTTCAACTGTGGTTCATTCACATGCCATGTGTTCTCCCTGAGGACACGGGTATCACACTGACATGTTTTGCTTTTTGATTACTAAATATCTGGCAAGCATTTCTTTTGCTGCAAGATAATCTTAAATGGGAATTAATTAGAACAATAAACTATTGTTAAAACTCCTTCATAATTCAACCAATGAGCATTAGTAAAGAAGACAAGATCATTAAATCACCTTCTATTTTTATTTCTCTGAGCAGTTTCCCCAAACTGGTGATGGTTCCCTCATTTGAATTTATATATACTGACCAATTATAACAACCATGACACTTTTCAGAGTCTGTTTCAGAAAACTGAGTGAAACTCTTTTCAATAAGCATCATAAGGTGAAACAAAACAATGAGGGAAATCCAGACTTATTTAATAATCCCAATAAATCCAGATTTTTGACCTAACATAGCTGGAGCACCATAGTGATAGATCTTTTTTCATATCCAGCAGACGTTCTTTGGCAGATGTAAAAGATGCAAAAACATCTATGCCACAAGTTTTTTTTTAGGCTGAGAATTCACATTTCTTTGTACATTTGTTAGTCCTTTAAGATGAAGCACACAAAGTATTAATGGGCAGTGTCTTTTATATCACACAATTCATCTAAAGTTAACAACTTTCAGTTTTTCAAATTTTCAAACAACTGATCTTTAGGAGTGTTAGAAAAGTCTTGTATTCTATACGGAACTGATTTTTAGCTTAACTTAAGATATTTCATTTTGTAAAACACGTTGTCTTTTCCTCATAATTTTCTAACAAAATTTCCAAAATAGAAATATCTATACATTTTTTACCATATCTCCATTAACTTTTTTTTCTAGCAAGAATACAAGTCTTTATGGCTGGCCAAATCTACATACTCATATCTGGTTATAAATTGTCTAAAAGCTTTGCTGAATATTTAATTCTGATTTCAGATGATTAATTTCATCTATTCGTTTTTGATTGTTGAAACATTAATTTCAATTTCTTACTATTTGAAGAAAATCTATCAATATTTTTCACTTTCGTACTTTCAATTTTATTTTTTTACACAACAAACAGGTTTTTTTCTTTTGCTCTGATGCAGCAAATTGCAACTTTCATTCATCATGAAATTCATGACATGCCTTCCAGTCTTTTCTGTTCCAGTTGTGCAACTAGCTCAGTTCTGTATCGGTATGACTGATTTAAAATTTAATGATTTGTCCATACTTATTTTTTAAACTAGAAAAATAATTGTTTCCATTTAATTACTAATTATGATTTACATAGGCACAGTAACTCATGCTGTTTGCATAAAATATTCAACTAACACTATCATGTTTCTTTCACTAGTACAACATTGCTAGAATGGAATTAATTCTTTGACATCAACTGATGATGTGTTTATGTGTAATGCAAACAAGCAATACTCTGGTTCCATATCTTATATGACACAACAGATAAAGGGAAATGTCCTATCAAAATAATAAAGTTTCTCTTAACAGAAAACATTTGACAGTTCCAGTCATATTTCAAGTGCTCAAACGCCACACATGGCCAGAGGCTACCATCCTGGACAACACAGGCCTCAGCCTTGGCATGACGGGAACTTAACTAGGTTTAGGATCCTGGACGCCTTCCATTTGTGTCCTCTTCTCAAGTACCCTCCAATGCCTCATCTCACCCAGCGACCTCATAAGGCATTTTCAAGAACATAAAAAAGCCTAAGGAAACAGGCTAAAAGAATCAAATTAGCATCAAACGCTGTCTTTTATTATTTTTCTGGAATTACTTAACTGTTTAGTAGGGGCACGCTTGATCTCTTTTGCAGACTAAAATCTGAATGAAATATAATGGGAGATGAAATAAAGGGGAGTTTGAGAAACAAAATCTTCAACTGAATGTTTTTGTCAGGTCAGTGAAGGAAAACTGAAGGCCTTGGCGGTAAAAACATAAGAGATGTTGAGTTGAGGTTTGCCTAACGAAACAATGAGTGACTGAGCAAAACTCACTTACCTGTCTTTTCTCCCACAAGTGAGGCAAGAACCGAAGTTCTTACTGACTTTATTTCTTAAACACTTCAAATTCCCCTTCCCTCTACTCTTACTGCCCTGCAAGCCGTCCTCAGTTTATCATCTGTCAACCAGACCATGCCAGGAGCCAGCTAACCAGTTTGACACATTTTTTTTTTTTTTGAGGAAGATTAGCCCTGAGCTAACTACTGCCAATCCTCCTCTCTTTGCTGAGGAAGACTGGCCCTGAGCTAACATCCATGCCCATCTTCCTCTACTTTATATGTGGGACGCCTACCACAGTATGGCTTTTGCCAAGCGGTGCCATGTCCACACCTGGGATCGGAACCAGTGAAGCCTGGGCCACCAAGAAGCAGAAAGTGCAAACTTAACCGCTGTGCCACCAAGCTGGCACCTAGTCTTACACTTTTAATCCATCCTCCACAGAGCTGCTTGAGTCACCCTTCTAAAACCCAAATCTGGCAATGCAATTCCCCATTTAAAACCCTGTATGGCTCTTTACCACCACCCACCCACAGGAAGAAGTTCAAACCTTAACATATTGTTCAAAGTTCAAAAGGCGTGCCCACTGTGTGCCAGCCACTCCTACTGCATGCCCCACAGAAAGACCCACATCATGTCAGAAACCCATTCCATCCATAATTCCCCAACTAACGCTCAACACGTTGGGCACACACCCTCACCACGACATCAGCGCCCACATCAGTGTGAATATTAAAAGGAGAGCAAGTCCTGCATCTCACAGGTGTCTTCTACTTGGCATGGTCACACCATCACTCCTTTTCAAGGTTTTCAAGAGTTACATAAAGTTCAGAAACTAGTACCAGCAGGGCTGCTATAAAGGGGAGGTACTGGAATCACCAGGCCTGTGGGGTTGGCAGTCACACGACATTAACTAATGAAGGAGTTGTGCTGAGTCGGCTCTTCGGGACCCCACAGCTCAGACTCACTGCTTTCCTGGTAAGGCTGAAAAGCATCCCATGCAGGAGTTCTTGAGACCGCCTCCAGGCACACTGGGCTAGTGAGCAAAGCTACTCATGACAGGCCTGAAGTAATTTAATAGCTTTTGAGTAGATTAGAGTGATTTGAGGTTTGCAGTTCAAAGAAAATGAGAAAACTGACATCTCCTTATGCACTTGATTTTAAATGTTAATGTTGCTAAAGAAACTGTAGAAACTGGTCGTCATGCCACCTTCTATTCCAGTAGTTTTCCCAACTCCTAGCTATAGACCAGTTGCCTAGACTCATTTGGGAACAAGTGACTTAGAACACTGTGTGTGTTTCATTACTTGGAGGAAATTAACTTATAGAAATACTCCTCAAATTCTTGTAAAATTCTAGTAAAAACTATCTTTATAAGATTCTGCTAATATATAACCTGTATATTACAACTGTTTTACAGTATCTGTGAAAGCTTATTTTAAAATCAATTTAAATTTGAAAATCTAAGTAAAACTCCAAAAACAGAATTCTTGGTACATATAACATCGTTACCTAAAACCTAAAAACTTTATTCCAAATATATTTCAGTTCATGTTTCCTTAGGTACTTATTTCTCTAAAGAACATTAACTAGAATTTATAAAGTAATATGAGCATATTTCATTAACGTTTTTACTTGTTCTTTGACAATTATAAGGAGGAACAAGACTTCTGTTACAGAGTGAGGTAAAATTATATAGTGAGGATTAGGTAAAAAATGCCTATTTTAAAAACTAGACGTCTCAGCAAACATCATTTTATCTAAATTGTCTTCTGATTTTAAATGATTTTTTTCCAACACCTTCATAAAAATTTACATTTATTTGTTATAGAAGCAGTTTCTAAAAAGAGAATGGATTTAATATTCTTAAGAGTAGGGAAGTCACACATTTTTATATATAACAAGCCAAACATTTAATGAATTGCTATAATCCCACCAACACAATGTTTGCTATTGTATTTAAACGCATTTATTTGAAATGTCAACCTCCTTCCAAAAGATGGAAAACACACGAGATCATTTCTTCTATTATGAGGTATAGTATATATAGTAACAACAATAAAAAATCCTAAATGCAAAAGGACCATCAGATGCCCAAATATAAAATTGGACTTTGGCAAAGATATGAGTGTCATACAGAACAAGAGAGCCAATAAGGAAATTATTAAGTTCACACCTTCTCTCCAATACCACAGCTCTGTTCCCATTCACTCTTCCCTTTCAAAAGGTGAGTTATAACCCTGTCCCAGATGACTCAGAATTTGAACTGTGTGGTCCGCTGATTAACTGCTGATTTATTTTTCTCAAACCTCAGTACTACAGCTATACAAATTACACTGTTAAAATATTTGAAACAGATATTGAATTTATTTGTTGGCTATGAGTAGGAAAATACATTGGTAAAGAAAAGAGACCCTGTATATAAATATAATACTAGCTAGTTACAATTTGACCAAGAAGGTTCCACTGGAAAGAACAGTAAAAGCCCTTGTTACCACCAGTCCATAGGTACACATTCGGCTTATGCCCGTATCAAAGAGCCGCCCAGGCAAATGCGACATTCTTTGAGCTTAGTGCAGATAATGTGCTGAGTTTTGTTACATGAATGGTAAACAAAAGTAGTCCAGTGCATTACACAATATAATGTACTGTGAATAAGATTAGATACTCTGTTGTAGACACTACTTGAACATGAATAAAATTTATGTCACCAAAAAGAAGAGCGAAATGAACATCTTAAAATACTGTTTACAAGTTGGGGAGAAACACTTGTGAGATGTTCTTTGAATTATCTGCAGCATCTGTACTGGATATTCTGATTGGTTCATTAAAAGAACAAACTGCTGTAATTGTTTTGCTTAGGTTGGCTTTTGTTCTAATACGAGATGATTCCAAAACCTTAAAAGTCTCTATGGAAACAAATCCCATTAGTTTAAATAGTAAAAAACGCAATACTAAAACTGGTATTTATTATTGAAAACCTGAACCTTAGCAAAGCTTTGAAATTTTAATTTCAACATTCAGAAGTGCATTCCACCCAATTTAATAATGTCCTTAGGTTTCAAAGTGCTAACTCAAAATAAGTTTTCTTGGCTGTAACCAAATCAAATAAAAACATATTTCTTGGAGATGTTCCTTGTCTATCTTGTAGGACTATTAAAGTTGCAATCAACATTTTATTTCTACAACTTTAAATTATGCCATAAATTAATTTTGATGAACATTTAAATTCTCAAAGCATAAATAGTTACCACTTATATGGTAAACAGCATTTCAAGAGATTTACACAAGGATTTTCAAATTTCTAATCATTAAAAGAGAAAACATACCCCAAATCTTCTGTAAAATATTCATAAGATGGATTTGTCCAGCAAGAACACTGAAATTACATTATGGCAACACCACATTAAATATATTTGTTATAGAATTTGTCAAAAAAAAATCTATACTGTGAAAACATACTAGGATTTATTGCATTTTAGGGAGTATGGATTATTGGAAATTATTCAGGACACAGAAAATATTTAAAACACAAAACCTCGCTTAACAAAAGTTATCATAATCTATCTTGGGGTGACCATTTATTCCCCACAGGCCTAAAATATTTCTTTCTCTTTTGAAGTTAGAGTTTTAAATCTATACTCTTGGTTCAATTTATAACTATCTCAATAAGGTGGGGAAGCTGTTCAAACTGACCCACAGAATGCAGTATGCCAAGAAGAGGCAAGAACAAATATTTTCAAGACATAACCGGCCGTTATATCTCACTATGTTGCCCCCAGATTCAAACATATTGTAGACAATATCAATACAGATGAAAACACTTTGTATAAAGCTCAAACCTTCAGCATCTAAGAAGTGCACTCTAGTTCCAGCATCTAGGAGAAGAATGCATCCTCCACGCACAGAGGAAGTGCTTCTCCCCTCCCCTTCCATAAAGCTCTCGGACCTGTTCTGACAAAAGGCAGATCACAGGAAAAGTGGCTCCCTTCGTCTCCTCAGTCCAACCAGCTCCAGCTTGCCCTTGCTGGAAATTGTCATGATGCACATTACCAACACAGTGTTTAGGAAAAATGAGTAAACACACCTTTTATTCACACTTTACAAAAAAATAAAACAAAAACCCCATAAAATTTATGCGTTAGTTCTACATCAATACGAGCTTCTAATGGACTGATTATAAACTGGGTGTGTTTGGTGTCGGCACAACTTAAACAAAAAGCAAAAAATAAAAAAAACCATCACAACAAAATCTTTAAAAACCTCAAAGGAAAAACCAGGTCCAAGACAAAGATTCAAGATCAAAACCTTCAGGAAAATTTTTTTAAAAGAAAGAAAGAAAGAAAGAAAGAAAAAAAAAATCATCATTTATTTAAACAGTATGTAATTTTATTTTCTCTTAAAAACAAATTAAGCACATTTAAGTGCCGAACATTTTTCATAAAATTTTAAGTCATTATCCAAAATGACTCCTTCTCTATATAAAAATTGTTAACAATCAACAATTTTTGTTTAATGCTCACATGGTATCCTTTTGCTCCCCTGCCTGCAGTTGAAACAAAAGCAGTTAAACCAAGTTCCCTCTGAATTCATTTGATTTTTGAGAGAAGAATGAATGAATGAGAACAAAATATACATGAGTTAACTTTGCAAAGTTACAGCTGGCTTCTATCTCTAATCTACTAATGGCACTATGGGCAAAATACAGGGCAGAATATAACTTGATCTTGGTCGACATATTAAAATGACTTAGTCACTTTAAAAATGATCTGAAGAATTGTCTTGGGGACCTGTTTTGAAAATATATCTCCTTTATACTGTTTCATAAACGGAAAATCACTTTCTTTTTTTAAAAAAAGGAATGATTTTAAAAAACATGGAGACTAAAGAATTCATGGAAAACAAAAAGAGCTCACATGATAGCGCTCTAGGCGACGGACAGCACTGTGCAACAGCGCCAAGAAGCAGTGCTTGCGTCTGATGAGCAGAGACCCAGGGACCCACCCTAGGAGCATGTTCCAAATGTGACTTTCGGTGCTTCACAACGGGAAGAGCCACAGCTCACACAAAAGCATTTTCACAAAATTCTCACAAACGTTAAACAGTATTTAAAAATCTAAAAGAGGATGCACAGACTTTCTCTGCACGCACAGGCAGTGCTCAGCGAGAACAAATTTAGGCAGGCACAGTGGAGATAGGACAGGAAGCGCCTCAAAAGGGAGTTAAGAAGCTGTACCTAAGCAGCTGTAATGTTTTAACTTAAAAGTTAAAGATTTAAAAATATCAGAACGTACATATACCAGCCATTACATTCAGTCCACAGACGCCCAGATCTTTCACCGTGCAGCTTCTCTCTCCTGTAGATAGTTTTCATGACAACACAGGGTTTCATGGATAAGTTGTCACTGGTCGAAGAAAATGTCCTAAGCTTTAAACAGATTTAAAGAGCAATGTTCTCAATTTAAAAATAAAGTAGTACAAAAGGGCTAACAAAACCCTAACAGTGCAAATCATCAGCAGAGAAAGTCTGTTGCAGCTTCTTTTACAAGCTGGCCTTTATAACGCATGAAACAGGTAAAAAAACTTAGCCTTAGTTTATAATACAATCATTTCCAAATCTGATTTTTTTAGTACAAAATTTCATAAATCAGGTCTCCTGTGGATCATATACAATCATAAAGGCTAAATTCAAAGTCTTTATTTTACAAACAAGTCTGAAAAGGGAAGAGTCAAGTATGGGAGAATGGTCTCTGGATGGTACTACTGGCCTCAGGAAAGCAGTGCTACAGATTTCTGTGCAAAGAGAGTATGCTGTTCAAACATTTTCCTATTTCAAGGCATGAAAATATTATTTGAATAGAAGAAACAGGAAAATCACTTGTAACAAATTAAAGAGAGGTGCACACACACCAATCCCTGTCTAACAGTATATAAAGCATATTGGGCTCAGTATTTGTCTGTTGCTAGCACCTGGCTTTCATACTATATCTTTATCAAAAAATCAGATTGAAAACTCAAATTACCATTAAGGAAAAAAAAAAACCCTAGTGGCCATACCTCACTCCCCTCTATTCAGATTTTTATGAGTTTACAAATGAAACTGAGGTCGTCCTCTGAAGGTACTTGACTACCTCCTGCTGGGAAGGTGAATGCCGTTAACTTGGGGCAGGAAAGGCAGTAAGAGCTCCAGTTGTGCAAAAAGTGAGAAGTGATCAGAGGGGATGAGTGGGTGTGGGCAGCCGCTGATATTATTCTCAACTAGCCAATGGTGATCCAGAGGTCCCAGGATGCCTAAAGTGTTCAGCTGAGGTTTAGAGTAAAAGATGTAGTCAATTATACCCTGAAAAACAGAAAGGGGAAAAAAAAGACACGGCCCCACATAAGATAACGCTGAAATGCTGAAAGCGTTCAAGACATACCCTTACACTCATATTTGATAAACAAAGAAACTTAGCATGAGGAAGAGGCAGTACTACGTAAACCAAATGGTACCCCAAATGTCAAATCTGGCAGAACGAAGAAAGTTTAGCAACGGTAATCATTCATTTTTCCTCCCAGCTGGGTCTTTTCAGAATTTCTGAAGAGACCTACAACATCCTCAATGAAATGGGCCCTGCTTCTCTTTCCTAACTTAATTTGTACTACTTTTCCCCTTGCTCACTCCTCTGTTGCCATACTAGCCCTTCTGTTTTAGGGGGGAGGTGAAGTGGGGTACACTCCTCGCAGATGCCAAGCTCTTTCCTGCCCCAGGGCCTCCACACATGCTGTCCCCTCTGCCTGGAACACTTTCTTCTACTTGTCATTTGGTTGATGCCTTCGCAACCTTCAAGTTCACTTTCCAAAGACCTTCCTGAATCCTGTCCTCACCCACTTAATACTTCCTATCCCCTCCAATTCCCTTCCCCTGTTAATGTGCAGCCCAAGGTGTAACTACATACTCATCTATGTAGTCAAGACCTGTCTCTCCCCAAGACCCCAGGCTCCACGAGGGTCTCTGCCGTGCATGCCCTCAGCAGCACCGAGACACGGCCTCTGGCACACGGCTAACGATCTCTGGTTTGCCCCTCTCTTCCCTTAACTCCAGCCTCTCCTCTACATGCTCTTGGCCAAAAGTATTTAATCACATTCAAGTGTCTTCTTCCCATTTCTCCAGCAGCAATGGGAACAAGAGAAAAAAAATCCCTAATTTCTCCCACCTTTTGGTTATCACTCTCACCTCTTCTTCAATCAATCTGCTTGAAATGAGAATCTAAGAGTTGGTTGTTACTACCTCATCACTCAGTTATTCTTCAACTCACCACATTCTAGTCTCTCTGCCCAGCTCTCCAGTGAAATATCTCTTGCCATCACCTTCTCTGAAGTTTACACTTGCTCCTCCCCACTAGGAGGGCCTTCCTTCCTCAGCAGTTAGACTCCTACACAGTCCTGGTTGTCCTCCTCTCCCTTGTTCTTCTTCTGTCGTTTACAAGTTAGTTTTTCCCAGTCTACTCTATCTCTTCAACTCTACAGTCAGCTGTTCCCCGAGTTAAATCATTACCCACAGCACTGTGGTTCCTCCAAAGGCAAACAAAAACTGTCAGAGTTTTCAGCAGTTTCTCAAGAGTCTAAAAAGCCCTCCTCTCCAAAATTAAGAACCAGCTAACACTAGTATTTACACTCTAATAGACTAGCCAACCTGAACAATTATTTCTCCAGCAGGTTAGAAATGGAAAACCAGGATTTAAGAGAGCAGAAATGCAGAAGGTGGCTAAAAAGGACAGTTGAACACAAGCCCTAAACAACCACTGACAGCAAAAATGAGGAGAATCACTGAGGAAAGCCTCCACATGGTGAGCTGTTAACGGTACAAGAAGGCATGTGAATATATCTTAGAAATTTGAAGATGGCTAATAATAAACCACAGTTTGGCACTCAAAGAGCAGTTTCAGTTAAATTAAAATATGAGAGATTGAACCCCTCACCGCAACTGACCACAAATTAGTGTGGTAGCACATGCACAGCTGTTAGTAATGAGCCTTTAAGAAATGGAGTTGCCCAAAAACAGTGACAGTTAACTCAGGATTTACTATCATTGTTTCATCTGATTGTTTCCCCTGGAAATGAATCTACAGGTATCTATAAAGCAGGGACAGGAGACTAATCACACGAACTCTACATAGGAGTAAGAAAAGAGTATGACGTCAACTAATTTAAGATGGCTTAACTCCATTCTGAACATATAGCCACATTCTAAAGACACAACGAAGTTACCAGACTCCAAAAAACAGAGGTTTTAAAGCTGATCCATCTCCACACTCACCTTGAAATCGAAGGTGTAGTTCGTGTAGGGCATCAGGCCACTCTCGTAGGCACTCTTTAACTTGAACCCATGCGTGATCCTGCCATTGGTCGTCCCATTTTTCCCATTGCAGCTGAAGTTTGTAAGACTTTCATTATATCTCAGCTCCTTAAAGTCTTTATGGTTTGTTTCTACTCCACCAGTGCTCAAATATTCTACAACACCTATAATAAAAATAAATGTACTTTCTTGCCAAGTATAATAAACAGTGTACAAAAATCACTAAAAAAGAAAATTCAACAGCAAATAGTTTTAAACCAAAAATATCCCACTTCCTAAAATGTTTCAGTTTTTTTTACATACATTTGCCAGAACTTGTCTAAATCCACTTTTACATAGGTTTAATCATAGTTTACTGAATATTTTATATTTTGCTTTATTGTATCACATGAACTTTCTTTTCTTTTTTTTTTTTTTTAGGAAGATTGGCCCTGAGCTGACATCTGTACCCATCTTCCTCTATTTTATATATAGGACACTGCCACAGCATGGCTTGATGAGTGGTGCGTAGATCCACGCAGGTGATAGGAACCAATGAACCCTAGGCCTCCAAAGCGGCACGGGCGAACTTAACCACTGTGCCACCAGGCCAGCCCCACAATTATCTTTTTAAACTAGTTCCTTAATTTTTTTAAAATTCGGGTTGTTTCTACTTTTTAAAAAGAACACAATTATTAGTATGTAGGTTTCTGCTTATGCTAAATTATTTGCTTGGTATAAAATACCAAAATTAGGATTCATTGTGCCATTGTACGTATTGCCAACCATGGAAGAGAATGTTATTAGTTAGTTACAGAGCAACTTCACTATCCCTGGACACTATTCTTCCAACTTCCTAAGCATGAGATGGGCTCTGCAAATATTTATTTTAATTTTCATTGAATTAGTTAGCAAGTTGGACATTTTCCCATGTGTTTGCTATTACAATACTGTATTTTCCAACACTGAAATGGGTCTTAAGATTTGCATTCTTTGACAAGAGTCTTCCATTGCCCCTCAGATACTTCTGTAGCTGAAGAGTGGGTGGAAAGCATGCAGAGAAACTGCCAGAGAGTAATCCTCAACTGCGTCAGCAGCAGAAACCCCCAAGTTTTGATGAGATGGACTAAAGAATTATACATCTCAGATACCTTTATTTTCCCTGAAAACGAATTTGAACATAGTTTCTATCTTTTTAATGGCTTTCGTCTATCGTGATGGCAGTGATGTGCTGCTGAATTTAACCCCTCCAAAGTGTGCACGTGCACGCACGCACGCATGCAAGTCCAAGAAAAAGTATTCTTGTGTACAGGAGAGAGAATAAACAAGGAGTTGAAATACAAAAAAGAAGAAATCCTTACTTTGATATCACAAGGTTATGATTTATTCACTGTACTATCTACGGTAAAGTATTCAAGAAGAAGGCGTTCTGTATTCTACTTTGTGACAGATCAAGATCCCTGTTCTTTTTTGTTAAAACCACTTGCTTGATCTGTGCAAACAAAGACTCTCAATTTCCACCTGAGGTGTATTTTCTAATCAAGCTCCTATAACATAAGGTCAAATTGAAACTGGATTACATTACTATCCCAGAGAAGCTGTCTTAATAACCTTTTCAGAGTCTGGATTATACATAACCTGAGGGTAATGAAATATAATTATATGTTCTTTAACAAGTTATTTCAAGTTATCACCTAGGTGTTTATTGAAAATGATTCATGTCCTCCCTCCTCAGGTTTCCATAACAGCATTTCATTTTTAGAATGGTCCCACTGCTCCATGCGAAATCTTTACACCTGATTCATAGATGCCACTACAAACTGAATTTTTGTTCTGACTAAACTGGAATTATCAGAAACAACAAATTACACAAACATTTTAAGTCAAAAAGCATCCTATATAAGATAACATTCTTTTCTTACCAGAGTCTGGCAAAGAATTAAGATCTGCACACAACACCAGTGGAATAGCTCCAAACTCTCCCAACACACTGGACTGGAGGCTCCGTGAGGCTTTGTCAATAATGTTCTTCACTTCTGAGAGGAACATCATTGTCTGAACCAACTTCACATCAGAGTATTCAGGGTCCCAATGCATATGAGCATTAGCCACAAGAATCAGTTGTTTTTCTGTTCCGAGATGTGGTTTTCCAGCTATATTAGACAAAAAGAAAGACAGACAAAACCCGTCCATCAGGCCATATATTCCTACAGGGTCTAAAACCAAGTAATATCTCAGAGTCTTGGGAATAAAAAAAGACCCTAAAATTTACCTAACAATCTCCCATTTGATGACCAAATCTACCCTACAACGACCCGGAGAGCCAGACCCCAGCCCTCTGAGCGAGCACGTCCGCACAGGGCGTCCACCGTCGGCACAACACAGCCCATTCTCTTTGGGACAGCTTTGAGTTTTAAATAGTTCTGTCCCCTGGAAACTTCTGGTCTTAGTTCAAATGTCCTAACTTGAGCCTCCCAAAATTACATCTCTACTCTTTTTCTTTGCTATGGTGAAGATGATCACTAAGCTCCATCTTTCATTTTTTCTATCCTTCAGCTTCAACTGTTCCTCAAGTGACAGAAGTTTCACTTCTCAGCAGGACGGTCCCTCTAAATACACTTTTAATATGAAGTAAGTCCATTTCTCCAAAACTCAAGACCTTTAAAATAATGATTACAAGTAGGTCAGGAAGAGAAGTTGGCTTACAGAATATCCTGCTGCCAAGAAATTACAGACGTGTATGCAGCTCTTCTCTCCAAGCAGTTACTTTAACTATTATTTACTTCAACATTTCTCTTATGAGAAAAATCCTTGGGAGCAAAGAAACTATTTTGTTCTTTGGCTTTATGCCTTTCAAGGTGTGAAACACTTTTCTGAGCAATGCTTTCTTTCTCATGTCAAGCTTTGTGGTAGGGAAAAAGGGATACTTTAGGAAAGATTTAAGTTCTCACTGAGTTTCTTCAGGTGTTAGACAAGACTATTATTACAAATTTTCTGTTTTCTATTAAATTTTGGAGGTCAATTTTACACGAAGTGAAAAGGTCACTCACATGACATTTCAATCAATTCCTTTCGAAGTTCTAGCAGTACTGCAACTCCAATGTTATCTTTTGTCATGACTCTGTTCAGCATAGCTTCAGACCCTTCTGAATTTGCCATCGCTAGCTGATTAAATTCAACAGTGTGTTTCTGAACCAAAGTAAATCTAAAACAAAAACAAAAACACACACACAAACAAAGAATTGGGAATACCAAGATATTAGCTTTGTGGGAAATGCAGTTTTCCCAAACTTCCTTAACAGATATGATGGCATGTAAATCACATTATGGAAAATCCTCCACACTTAACACAAAGCTTCGCACATCCGCTTAAAGTTGTTCTCAGTCTGTTACTGACACAAATAACATCTTGAAAGACTTTTACAACTTAAGATAATGTAGTCATCTTCTGTTTAGGTTTCATGGTGGAATATTCCATCTTGTAATTTTTAAATAATTCTTTTCCAAAGTATAGGTTTAAGAATCGCTCTACCATCCTAGAGGGAATGTTAATTACAAGGTGTTTCAATCAACAATTGGAGTTAAGCTCTAGTAAACACCTGAAGAAACAGCAGCACTTTCAACAATGTCTCCAAAGCAAGATTATTTCTGATGATTCAAAACAAAACAAAACAAAACCTTAAGTCAATAGTATTGTTTGAGTAATGATACAAGGTCTCACTCTCTTATCTGGCAACTAATTTCCATACCCTTGGCCCACACTCTGCAAATATAAAGAAAATTTTCCTTTTTAAAAATAAGATGACTTACTTTTCTGTCTTGAAGAATATTGCACAGCCATCAACATGTTTTCTTTCTTGTTCTGACATTGTCCTAGCTCTAGATTTAGGACTAAAGAATCCATTATAGCCACGTTCTTTCAGTTCTACCAGAAAAAAACTGTAATACTGTTCTGTTTCAACCTCCTGAAAAATTGTAAACAGCGAAGTTACTTCATAAGACAAAAATCAGTCCTTTGCATTAACTTTTATATGTACAGTATGAGAGCTTAAAATAATTTCAAAGGACTGATCTACAGAATAAAGAATGTAACACCTTTGCAATGTAATTTATCTGAAACTAACTGAACGCCTATTTGTCATTTTACAGGTACCAGATGACAAGGTCAATTCTTTGTTGTTTAGGAGTAAAGAATGAAAAGACATATACCTCTATGCACGTGTATTTCCTGATATTTTAGAACTGATGTGGAACCAGAATCAGAGAGGTAGAAGGAACTCCCCAGATCATAATTCCAGATCATAATTTCACTTGGAGAGAAAGTGACTTCCAAGGTCATGTAAGTTATTATGTAAGTTGGACTAAGAACCCCAAGTTACATGGACCAGGCTCAATGCTCTTTCCACTGTGCCCTAATTATTTTGTTATCACCAGCCATAAAGCAAAATCATACTTGGACAACGCCACCCAATTCAAAAATAGTGTGCAGGGGCATTAGGGAGGGAAAGGTGAAAATTGAGCTGTCACAGCAAACGCTTAAAACCCAGCTTAACCCATTTGCTTAATTTAGCAGCACAGTGCTGCACAACAAAGCAGGCAGTGAATGCTCCCAGGATTCACAAAAAACGGTCACTATTTTAATTGTTATAAAGCCAAACAGCGGTCAGCCCTGTGGATGAGTGGTTAGGTTCGTATGCTGCACTTTGGTGGCCCAGAGTTTGCTGGTTCAGATCCTGGGCACGGACCTAGCACCACTCATCAAGCCACGCTGAGGTGGCATCCCACATGGCGCAAGCAGCAGGACCTGCAACTAGAATACGCACCTACGTACTGGGGGGCTTTGGGGAAAAAAAAAAAAGATTGTGAACAGATGTTAGTTCAGGACCAATCTTAAAAAAAAAAAAAGCTAAATATTTTAAAGCTGGGGCTTCAAATGTGTCCGTGTAATGCATTCCCAGGTTGCTCCTTGCTGTACCAGTGTTGGGCATCTGTGTGATTTAAACAAATACGACTCTGATGACTTACCTGAAGACTTACGATATCAGCATTGCAGCTCAAGATTTCTTGAATAATGGCCTTTTTCCTGTAGTCCCAGTTTAGCGCCCATGATGGACAGTAGCCGTATAACTGCCGGGTCGCGTATTTATCACAAAGAACATTGTAGCACATGACAGAAAACAAGGCTGTGGGAAAGACAATTTTACTTATTCACACGTGTGGCAGGAAACCCACAATTAATTTCAGTAGTTTTCACTTAAGTGTTAAGTTTGACTTTATTCACTCAACATATATTTATTAAAAAGCTACTATATGCCAGACATGGTGGCTATAAATAAACTCGAATAATGAAGGAAAGACAGATACATGAACCAATTATAATACAAAGTATTATCTGTTAGAGACATAGCACAGAAGGTTTGAAGCTAAAAGACGAAGATGGTGAGCCCTTCAGCCTCTAAGACCAGGGCTCCTCATTCCTATGCTCCCTCCACTTTGCCAACTGTTAACATAGGATGTGCAAACGTGACAGGCAGTTTCCTTAATAGGCATATTTAGTTTTCTTCTATAGAGCAACTATTATTAATTCACGTGAAAGGAAAGGAGTATTAGACCAAATCCTGTTACACACATCACAGAAGTTCCGAAACTATTTTCATAAAATTTAAGTTAAAAGGAGATTAGAGGTCATTAGTTCAATTTCTCCCTCAAGTAAGTGTTTTGGCTGTTTTACAATTTTACAGTATCAAATACATTTGGAATATACTAGGGTTTGGAAACTTCTCATATAGAAAGATTTGGTGTATTTATTCTAAGTGAATTTGATCAATACCCTACAGCAGGTTTCTCAACAGTGGCACTATTGGCATTGTGGGTGAGTACAGTTTTTGCTGTGGGGGGCTGTGCTGTGCCTTGTATGATGCTTAGCAGCATCTCTGATCTCTAGCCACAAGATGCCAGCAGCACCTCCCCCAGTTGTGACAATCAAAAATATGTCTCCAGACATTGCCAAATGTCCCCCGGGGGATAAAACTGCCTCTAGTTGAGGAGCACTGCTTTACAGCATATTTTCTATAGCATAGTATGGAGGTAGCATAGTATGGAGGCCTGGTGGGCAAGAATCAAGTCTTTATTATTACCTCCCAAACCACATCACCCCTAAGCATTCTACTGTACCACTGCCCATAATCTAAAGCATGCCAACAATACTATTTGCTTTATAGAGACCAAGTGAAAATAAGAGTTAAAAAATAAGGCTACCAACCAGTAGGCCTTGTTCTGTCTGGTTCTTGTAACATAATCCAAGATCTTGGAGGTGGTTGTTCTGTTGAAACTAGTTGAATATAAAACACAAAATTAAGCAATATTCTTATACGTCTTCCCTTAAAAAATGGTTTAAACAAATGATCACTTACTTCTTTTTGCAGTACCTGCCAAATTATCAAGCAAATAGTTCAGTAGCCTTCTTGTTCCATCTGGTTCCAAATAGAGGTTCAATATATCTTGGGTAAGTGGATTTCCTGGAAATATTTTCAAAATAGGTAAAATAAAACCAAGATAAGTACTAAAATATTTCAAAATTGAAAAATACACCAAAATTATCAGATCATCTATATAGCAATGTAAAGTTATTAGGAATATACCAAACTGGAAAAAATATTCTTTTTTCAGTTTTTGATGTGAAGAGTAAAAATGATTTATACCGTGTTCCATAGAGGTATACAAAAAATGACTGCTAATGGGGGCTGGCCCCGTGGCCGAGTGGTTAAGTTCGCGCGCTCCGCTGCAGGCGGCCCAGTGTTTCGTTAGTTCGAATCCTGGGCGCGGACATGGCACTGCTCATCAGACCACGCTGAGGCAGCGTCCCACATGCCACAACTAGAAGAACCCACAACGAAGAATACACAACTATGTACTGGGGGGCTTTGGGGAGAAAAGGAAAAAATAAAATCTTTAAAAAAAATGACTGCTAATGGACTCACATCATTCTGGAAGATATCTAATACTGCTCTGTATTTGAACCCGCCTCATCAACACTTGCATAATGGTAAAAAGCAGGTGAAATGAACTGGGGAGAGTGGGAAGAAGGAGCAGACAGGGAAAGATGACAGCCAATATAATGAATCAAAGAATCAAAATGTAAGAATGCAACTAAGCTAACAAGAAAACATCCTAATGCCTAATGTAGTCTAGCATTTAGCTTTTTTAAAATTCTACTGAATAAATTAACAAACTGCGGCAGACTTGGTTTAAGATTAAGTCACCAAGGCAGGGGGAAAACCCCAGGGACGTGAGCCATCTGTAAACTCAATAACTGTTTCTCAAGTGCCAAAAACGGAAGCAAATCAACAATTTACATGTATTTATAAGAATCTTAAGTCCTCTCAGCAGGATTTCTTATGTACACATGAGAAATAACAGTACAGTGCACTGTTTGAAACAGCAAAGTTCCTATCCACGCCACACAAGTGGTGTACATTGTCTTGGATGCCATAGGACCACTTTAAGAAAAATGAAGAAATTCTGTAGACTGAAAAAGGCAGCTAAAATGATGAAAGAGCTTCACCATCCAAATGAAAAAAAAAAAAAAAAAGAAAGGACATGGAATCTAAGAATGACCATAGCCCAGAGAAAAAGTGGTTTTTTTCCTATTCTTTGTGAAAGAGTAGACTCAAATGGCAGAATGAGGACCAAGGGATAGGATCTAATAGAAAAGCCAGCTCAGAAGAAGAGGTTGGTCAACATGAGAATTATTTCCGATGAAATGCCCTACCCTGTGAGGTAGTAGTGTTCCCTTCATAAAAGCCAGATTATGTGGACGGGAAGAACAGCTAAGTTAGTTGACCTTTAAGATCTCTTTAAGACTCTAGGATTCTAAGAATTAGAAAGGTAAAAATGTGCTCCCCATGTGCAAAGCACGTCTCTGCAGGAAGGCAGGTTACAACAGTATCCTTCTCTCCCAAGTCTACAGTTCTTCACAGCTACCAAAGCCCTGAAATTTCCACTTAGTCACAATCTTACGAGACAGGCACAGTCATAACCTGAGAGTTAGCAAAACCCTTTGTTAAAGGTATCTTGAGAAAATGAATTCAACTAAAAACTTCTTAGTACTAGGTCAGCAGCCCATTCTAACTAGACCTACACTAAAGCTGCCTTTCCACTACTTGCTAGTGCAAACAACGTTTGGAGGCAAACACTGACTGCTTATACCTACGGGACCCTTCCTTCTAAGATCTTTCTTTATAAACTAAAAACCACTCCCAAACACAAACATCTAATTACGACTCTCTAGTAAATGCAGCTAAAGCCTAATGATATATTTCCCCCAAAGTCTACTTGCTTTTTTGGATTCCTTTAAATTTAAAATTAATCTGCTCTTCATTGCCTGGAAAAATAATATATGTAAGGTAAAGTTAACAAAAACAACAACACAATTCTGGAATCGAAACATGATATTGAGTCCTCAGAAATAAGGAACAAAAGTCAACGAGAGAAGTTGCTACTGGAAAGACAAAGGAGACGTCCTTTTCCGACCCCTCCTGCTGAGTACAACTAAAATCCCTGTGCATTATGTGTAAACAAGCATAAAACCCTGAAACACGGTGAGAAGGCAAAATGGCTAGAGGCCTCAGGACCTGAGGAACAACATAGCGGTGAAGTTCTTGGGTTTACCTTTTGCTCACATATCCCAGACAAGGAGCTGAAGAAGCCAGCAAGTGCAGAAGGTAAAATTGTCCCTATTTGTAAATGATGATTTTCTAAATAGAAAATTCCAAATAAACCTACAAAAAAACCAAAAGCAACTCTTAGAACTAGAAAGGAGTTCAACAAGGTAGAAGGATACAAGAGAAAAATACAAAAATCCAGGGGGCCACCCTGGTGGCCGCGTGGTTAAAGTCCCACATGTTCCACTTCGGCGGCCCAGGTTGGCGGGTTCAGATCCCGGGTGTGGACATAACTCCACTCATCAGCTATGCTGTGGAGGCATCAAGATTGGCACAGATGTTAGCTCAGGGCTAACCTTCCTCAAGCAAAAAAAGAGGAAGATTGGCAATGGATGTTAGCTCAGGGCAAATCTTCACCAAAAAAAAAAAATCCATTCTATTTCTATATACTAGAAATGGACAGCAAAATTTAAAATTTAAAATATAGTATCATTTACAATCACTCAAATAAAAAAGAACGGAAAGACTGAGGCATCAATCTAACAAAATATTTTCAGGACCTATATACCAAAAACTACATGACACTGAAGAAAAAAATCAAAGATCTAAATATATGGAAGAGATATAGCACATTCATGGATTGGAAGACTCAGCCAAGTAAAGATGTCAATTCTCCCCAATTTGATATGAAGGTTTAACACAATTCCGATAAAAATCCTAGCAATATTTCTTGTAACTATAGATATTATTCCATATCTATATACGTGTATCTAGACACATGTATGTGGACAGGCAAGAGAACTAGAAGAGCTAAAACCATTTTGGAAAGAAGACTATAGTGGAGAAATCAGTGTGCCCTATTTTAAGACTTATTACCCTATTTCAAGTTTCAGGTAACTACGTGGTATTGGCAGGGGGATAGACACATAGACTCATCTGTTCCATAGGGAACAGAACAGAAAGATCCAGAAATAGATCCACATAGATATGTCCAAATGATTTTTGAAAAGGTGCAGAGCAAGTCAACGGAGGAAAGACTTCTCAACAAGTGGTGCTGGAGAAAGTGGACATCCAAAGGCAAAAAAAATCAACCTTGAACTAATCCTCACTTCTTTTAACTCAAATTGGATGACAGACTTAAATGTAAAACATAAAACCATAAAACTTTTAGTACAAAACAAAGGAGAAAATCTTTAGGATACAGAGCTATTCAGAGTTCAGAGACGATACCAAAAGCAGGATCCATAAAAGGAAAAATGATAAACTGAACTTCATCAAAATTAAAAACTTCTGATACATAACAGACCCTATGTGATATTGTGATTTATAATAAGAGATATATATTTGGTCTTTGTCCACTGTTCCTGGCACAGAGCTCCTAAAACCCTTGGAATTTCCTAAGTGATGAGAGCGATAAAGGAGTCTCTTGTTATGTTAACAAGGTGACTTTTGGACCCCACTCAAGGATGGGGGCTGGTTGCCAGGAGAACAAATCATGTGACTAGAGGGTCAGAACTTTCGGTCCAACATCCATGAGGGAAGAGGGGCTGAAGGTTGACTCAATCGGCAACAGCCAATGATTTAATCAATTGTGCCTATGTAATGAGGCCTCCCTCAAAACCCAGAAGGACAGGGCTCAAAGAGCCTCTGGGTTAAACATGTGGAGATTTGGTGAGAGAGAGAGTGGAGAGGCCTGAAAAGGGCATGGAGGTTCGGCACCCTTCCCCCATACCTCGTCCTCTGCATCCCTTCCATCTGGTTGTTCCTGAGCTATATCCTTTATAATAAACTGGTAATCTAGTGAGTAAATGAGTCTCCTGAGTTCTGTGAGCTGCTCTAGCAAATTAATCAAACGCAAGGAGGGGTTGGGGGAACCTCAAATCTGCAGCCAGTGGGTCAGAAGCAAAGGTGACAACCTGGGCTTCTGATTAGCATCTGAAGTTGGGGGGTGGCGGGGGTGCAGTCTTGTAGGACAGAGCCCTTTACCTGTGGAATCTGATGCTGTCTCTGGGTAGGTAGTGTCAGAACTGAGTTGAACTGCAGGACACCCAGCCGGTGTCCCAGAATCGCCTGCCGGTGTGGGGGAATCCCTCTACACACACATGTGGGGATTAGGTGTTAGAATCCTTTCACTCTGTTAAGTGGATGAAAAAACAAGCTACATATTCCAAGAAAGTATTTGCAAATCACATATTTGACAAAGGCCTAGATCTAAAATATATAAAGGACCCCCAAAATTCAACAGTAAAAAAGCAAAGAGGGGCCAGAACCATGGCCTAGTGGTTAAGTTTGGCACGCTCTGCTTCGGTGGCCCAGATTCAGTTCCCAGGCGCAGACCTACACCACTCGTCAGGGGCCAGGCTGTGGCAGTGACCCACATAAAAAATAGAGGAAGACTGGCAGAGACATTAGCTCAGGGCGAATTTTCCTCAAGGAAAAAGAGGAGGCTTGGCAACGGATGTCAGCTTAGGGTGAATCTTCCTCATGAAAAAAAAAATAAAAAGCAAAGAATCCAATTAGACAGAACACAGGCAAAGACATGAAGAGATATTTCACAGACGATGATATAGAGAGACAAATAAGCAAATGCTAAGATGTTCAATATCTTCAGCCATCAGGGAAACACAAATTAAAATCACAATGAAATATCACTACACATCTATCAGAAAGGCTAAAATAAAAATAGTGACAACACCAAATGCTAGTGAAGATGCAGAGAAACTGGATCACTCATTCACTACTGGTGAAAATGTAAAATGGTACAGCCACTCCAGAAAACAGTTTGGTAGTTTTTTAAGAAACTAAACATGAAACTAACATATGACCCAGCAATTACACTCCTGGACATTTATCCTAGAGAATGAAGACTTATGTTCACATCATAAGCTATACACAGAATGTTCACAGCAGATTCACCTGTAATAGCCAAATATTGGAAACCACCCAGATGTCCTTCAATGCATGAATGGTTAAACAAACCATAATGCATCCATACCATGGAACACTACCCATCAACATAAAGGAACAAAAATGCAACAACATGGGTGAATCGCCAAAGAATTAACCTGAGTGAAAAAAATCAACCACAAAAGGTTACACACAGCATGACTATTTATATAATACCATTGAAATAACAAAAGTATGGAAATGGAGAACAGATCAGTGATTGTCAGAAGTTAAGGAGTGAGCTGGGGCAAGAAGAAAAGGTGTGGCTATAAAAGGGCAACATGAGGGATCCTTGGTGATGGAACTGTTGTGTATCTCGACTGTGGCAATGTCAAGATCCTGGTGATACTGCACTATAGTTCTGAAAGATGTTACCATTGTGGAAAAGTGAGTAAAGGGCACATGAATTGTTCTGTGTTACATCTTACAGGTTCATGTGAATCTCTAAGTATCTCAAAATAAAAAAAATTTAAAAAGTGAATGTGCATCTAAGATTACAGTCCTACCTTTCACTGTAGAACAATTTTGAAGAACAGGGAAAAATGTGAAAAAACAGTGAAGCATGCTAGCCCTATGCAATCAACTTTAAAGAAAATGATATGAACTGATTCATGAGGCGGAAATACTCTGGCTCTCTATGAATGGATGATGTTGCAAACGGACATGATTTCTGAACTAAGTGATACATTTTCCCTCTTCTAAGTAATTAACAGGTGCCATGAGAAAGCAATGATAGATGTTTTCAGAGAGCAAGGATTATGTAACTGCTTTAAGAAGAAGGTGGCACAACATTAAAGTCTAAGTTGCAAAGCTCAGGAAAATAACAGGATTCGTCCAAAAAAGGTGAAATCAGTGAAAAGACCATCATTACAGACAGCTGTGTAACAACGTCCAACAGGGTATCTGGGATAAACAAACATCTCTGTGAAACTATACTTCCAAGAAAGAAGCATAAAAGCCTAGATGTCAACAGTAAAGGATCTTCCCGAACTGGAAGAGCAAGGGATCATCAAAAACAAAGGTGCCATAAAGACTGCCCTACCCCTCCCAGGCTTACTTTCACAGGCTTTTATGCACATTAAATCAGTGTGAAAGTTTGTGACCAATGACCCTCCAACAAACTTCAAATAAAGTTCATGAATCCTTAGAGAAATGAATACAGACTAAGGTCTGTAAAATGTATACGGTGGATTACAAAACCTTGACCCAGAAGTACACAGCATCCAGCCTCTGGGATGGGGGGGGGACTAGAAGGGAAGCAAAGAGGGTCTTGTGCTATTAATGTTCTATTTCTTTTGCATTAAAAAACTGACAGAAAAGTTAAAAAAATATTAATTGTTAATTCTGATGGTCAGTATATGAATACACTTTGTTACATTTTCTATTTTTCTTTCAACAAAAACAGAAAAATAAAAAAAGTTAGGCTTATCATAGGGAAATGTAACAGAAGAAGCACCTACAAGCTCGCCTTTTCCTGACCTCTAGTTTAAGAAGCCTCAGCAAGGCCAGCCCACACAGAAAACACTTTCCAAAGAACCATTTATAAAGCTCATGTTTGCTGAATATGGTTTTACATACACTTGTAAATGTATTATTTATATTTTTCCATTAAACTCGTTTTTGCAAACAATACCATTACTTTTACATTAAATGGATTTATAGGAGTAAAAACCTCATTTTATAACTGTATTTTTAAGAAATAAGAGTGCAATCCTTGAAGACGTCATTATGTGACCTTTTTTAGGCATCAATTATAGAGTAAACTGGACACATCTGCAAGACTGGTGAAGAATCACGTAAGGTGATAAAACATTTATAAGTATTGACATATTATTAAAATAGGACTTTCAATTTCGCTAGTTTTAAAAAAATATTTCCCAACAGCTCTTACTGGATTAATTATGGCCCCAAATTCTAACATATTAATGAAGTCCTCATAAATCAAGTTTTTTTAAAAATGCTCAAATACTGATCTTTATTAGCAGGTCCAAATGGATCAAAACTTTCTACTTATCGTTTCCTGCACTTTGAGAGAGTCTCCATTTTTTGAGATTTGAATGTAAGAGAAAAAGCTGTTCACAGCATGATGAAATAAATAAAGTCTGACCTCAGATGTGTATCACCAGAACATAGAGATGACTGAAACAAAGGTTAGAAAAGCAAGGCTGGGCCAGGAGCAAAAACGAAAATGCAGACTACCAAACAGTCTGCAGGGAGACGAGAGCAAAAACCATTGGGATGTGGCTAAGAAATCAACGAAGTTTGGGGAAGAGTGAGCTTGCAAATCCCCCAGCAAAAGAATTCCCTCTTATGGCTTCCTTAGACTCAAAGACATACAAAACATAAGCAGCACAAATATGGGAAGTCATACCTTTCAGGCCTAAAGTCTGCAACTGAAACAGTTTTCCCAGCTCAAAAGGTAGAACTCGTAACAGGTTGTTATTTAAATGGAGTTCCCTGTTGATGTAAAAATTCCAGGAAGTCAGAAGACATATTAACCTTTAACTAACAGCTAAAATCAACAATATAGTTTCTGGGAATATAAGCTCCTAAGATTGACAAAATTTTATATTATGTTCCAATGTCTAGTGCAGTGCTTCTCAAACCATATGTGGTAAAAAACAAACATAATAAAAAACCCCCAAACTGCCACAGACCAATACATTTTTAAAATATAGGGAAAAAAATGAGTTACTAGGAAAACGATGTGAGAAAAAAAAGAGACCAGCAAAATATAAGCCCTAATTTTTGTAAGAGTATGAAGCAGTTACAAAATTACTCTGACACACTGTGCATCTCACCGTGCAGGCGGGTGGCACAGTGTGCACATGGCTGCAGCCCACAGACCACCCTGAGTGCGGTGCTGGTCTCCACAGGCACAGACTGCCTCACACACTTGGGAAAGCGGAAAGATAAAGCCACCTGACCCATGGGTTGTTAACAGAGAATTAAAATAAGCAGGTAACACCAACTCAAAAGAGCTTATGATAGCTGCACAACTGTTTATGATTAATATTTCTCCATTTCACTAAAGTTTCACTTTAGAATAAGCGGCAGCTATATTAACTACTGATGATTATTTTAATGATTTGTTTTGTACAGACAACTCCAGTATAAATATCAAAGGACTCTTCAGCATGGAAAAAACCAAAGACCCAACACTGAGATACTGGCAAGTTCCTATAATAAGTTTTATTTATCACTTTTTACATGTGAATGAGAACTATTTTTATAATCCTTGGTCCTTGAAATTTAAATGAACCTTGGTCACTACTGAATAAACCAGAGGTTTGGTGAGGCCATAAAGTGAACAAGAAAAACTAGTTCTCAATAACTGGTTCCTGTTTATTTCTAAATATATCATGTGGAAAAGGAGGTCCTTTAAGTAAATTTGGTTTAGGGGATTTAAGTAAATTTGGTGTAGGGGATTAAAAATGATCATAGTATATACTCAGTAATTAAACCTAAAAAAATGTCATAGGCTGAACTGGGAGCAACAGAGGTAAAGAAATTCTCAAGGTTCTTGTTCCTTCACACTCTGCGGCAAACAGTAGAAGGCAGGAGAAAAAGCCAGTGGAATCACAGGAAAAAGTCAGATAATATGAAATGGGGCAAGATTTTCCATTGAGATTAACATAATGGCTGGAAATCGGCTTTATTTTCAACTTGAGTGGAACCCATTTACCTTGTAAAACAGAGGTAATAAAAGAAACGGCAATTATCATTTTAAATACAGTATGTGCAGGTAGGTTGCTAGTGGTTTCACTCATTATCTCAAGTCTCTCATCACAGCCTGGCTGGTAAGCGTCACAGCAGCTCCACAGCTGAGGAGGCGCTCAGGGCAGTTGAGAAGCTTGCCCCAAATCACTGTTTGCAAATGGCAAAGTGGGGTTCCAACCTGCACTGTGTGTGACTCTGCAATATATAGTCCCCCAAATTCGATAACTAATTCTAGCTTCTTTCAAGTCCAAGCTTTATTACTATCATGCACACAAGCCCTGGAATGGCCAAAAAGGTTTCATTGATTGGCAGTGGTTTCCTGGATTGTGTTAAGGATGGACTGGTGCCCCAGAATTTAGTGGGGAAAAGCACAACTGTCTGTCATCAGTGAGTGCGGATGTGGGATAACACAAGTGCATTCTATTTGTTTACTTCCACTTTGTCCAAAAATCTTGGTTCAGGAATAAAGTATATTACACAAAATATAGCAATAAAACAAGTTTTAGGCAATGGATCTATTTGATTTATTATTTATTAGCTGACATTCAATTTTCCCAGAAAACTTTACGTAAAAGATGTATAGTTATGTTTACTTTTGCTCAAATACCATTAAATTGATAGTGCTGTTTCCTAATAAAATGAATGCTTATTTTGGTTCACGGGGTATATAGTTATGTACTAAGTTGAATCTGCATACCTGAGTGATACCATGTTTCCGAGTTCTGCCGGTAAACTCCGGATTTTATTAGAAGACAGGTCCAGATACACCAGATTGTGAAGCTTGGCAATGTCTGAAGGAATACGGGACAGGGAATTGTCACTCAGATGCAAAGCTGTCAGGTGAGTTAGTGACCACAAAGATGAGCTTAAGCTTCTTACTTTTCCTGTAAGAAAAGAAAAAACGGGGCAAGGATTATGTAGTGTTTACTACAATTTGGTCCCTGGATTAAATTATTACTCACTGAAACACCTAAATGTTATTTATCACACAAAAAATTGTATGGAAGGAGTTAACAGGAGAAATCTTACCTATTCTAGAACAATTCACTGCTACAATTAAGTTTATAAACTCTCCACTTAGCAGACCAAAAAATCCCATATAAGGCAATCGATCAATATTTAGATTGCATCCTTATTATAAGAGCACAATAGTTAAGACTATTCTTTAAAGTGGCCTCAGCTATGACATGAAAAGTGTGAGCAATTTACAGTAATGATAAATCTGTATTTCAAGATGATGGATTTGGATTTATGCAAAAAAAAAAACCATCTAATCCAGTATTTCAGAGGCTGTTTATATCTATACTACAGAAAACAAGAATCTTGCCTACAAACAAAAGGTAAACAAGATATTCTCAGCTTAGCAAACTTTTAAGACCAGAGCACCCAAGTGATAACTGCATCAAGAATCACGTAACTAAACAAAGCTATACTGTATAATTACGAGTAAAAACACTTGCCCAGAAACATTTCCGATATTAAGTCATAACTACATAATCAAGCAGCAGTAGACACAGGATTCAGTGACTGAGGAGAGAATCATGTCTTTCAATGCAATATTAAATCTGTACTTTGACAATTCTTGATAGATGCCAATCATTTCTATAATCCATCTAAGAACTTTTCCTATAATCTCTTTAATGGTCCAGGATCTAGTCTGAGAGAGAATGAAATAAACAGAGGTAATGAAAATAGACCAGTCTCTGAGAACTGATTTTCTATTGGCTCAAAAAGCAATCTTGAGACCTCCCCTTCTAATCAAGATGCAGTGACAGGGAACAAATTTACTATCCCAGCTGAACAACTACAAGACCAGACAATATACACGAATCAACAAATTCCAGAGATCAGACACCAGCCAGTGATAGCCCTCCCACGTGATCCCTGAAAGACGGGAACAAACAAGGCGCCCACAACATCTCAGCTTTCCTCCTGGACAGCAGCAGGAGAGTGATCTCCCCCACTTCAGGAGACAGAGCAAAAGTCCAAGCAAGCCAGACGACTAGAATTTACAAAGGCAGAGTACCAGAGAGGAGAGAGATGAACAGAGAGGTCTGGGGGATCTGAGGAAAGGCCCCTCAAGTTTTCAACCGAGTATCAATCAGCATATGTGTGTGACAAATTACCTGAGCCAGAGGAAAAAAATATGCAAAAGGAGTAGAGGCAACAATTCCCAGGTTCACACACACTGAGGCCAACTGGTATTCCCAACTGCCAGAAAAATCTTGTAATTCACAGGGCATTGGCCTTAGCAGTCGTGCAAAATCTGCCCCGGACTAAAGACTGCTCTGGTCTCACTTAAGAAAGTTTAAGAGAAAGCCTTGAAAGAATCAAAGTGTTTCCAAGTAATTGAAGTGTATCCCAAAACAAAGCTCCACACTAGTTATAGGAATACAAATATACATCGCCCAGCAAGGTAAAGTTCACAAAATCTGGCTCCCAATAAAAAAATTACCAGGCATGCAAAAAAACCCAGGAAAATAACATCCATAATGAAGAGAAAAATCAATCAAAATCAGTCCAGAAGAGATAATGATAAAATTTGTAGAGAGACCTTAAAAGTTACTCTAACTGCATCCCTTCTGGTCAGACGCTAGAAGACTAAATATGTGAAGCAGAGATACAAGTCAGCATAGACACCACACTGAACTTCCAAAGTGGAACACCATGTCTAAAACAAAGCCACAGTAATCTTTCAACAACCCAAAACGAACAGAGAAACAGACTGAAAAAAACTACATCAGTGAACTCTTGGACAACTTTAAACAGCCTAATATATATGTAATTGGAGTTCCCAAAACAGGGATGTGTCAGGGACAGAAAAAAATACCTTAAGAAATAAAGGCAAGAGACAACTGGATATCCACGTGCAAAAGCTAAGTCGGACCCTTACCTCACACCTTATACAAAAATTAATGCAAAAACTCTTAGAAGAAAACATAGGCATAAATCTTCCTGACCTGGGATTAGGCAATAATTTGTTATATATGATACTAATAGTAGAAATAATGAAAAAGATACTGGATAAATTGTACTTCATCAAAACTAAAGCCTTTAGTGTTTCAAAGGACACCATCAATAAAATGAAAAAACAACCCACAGAACAAAAGAAACTATTTGCAAAGCATAAATCTGATAAGACACTCATATCCAGAAGATATAAAGAACTCTTAAAACTCAGTAAGAAAAAGACAAATAATCCAATTTAAAAATGAGTGATGATCTTCTCCAAAGAAGATATACAAATCACCAAAAAGCACATGAAAAGATCCTCAGTATCACCATGACGAAAACTATAAACGGGGAAATGCAGATCAAAACCACAATGATATACTACTCCATGCCCACTAGGATGACTATAATCAGACAGACGAGGGGCCCCAGCTGGCGCAGTGGTTAAGTTTGCTCACTCTGCTTCAGCAGCCCAGGGTTGGCCGGTTTGCATCCCAGTTACAGACCTACGCACCGTTCATCAAGCCATGCTGTGGCAGGCATCACACATATAAAGTAGAAGAAGATGGGCACGGATGTTAGCTCAGAGCTAATCTTCCTCAAAGAAAAACAGAGATGGTAAGAATTGGCAAGGTATGAAGAAACTGGAACCCTCATATGCTGCTAGTGGAAATGTGAAGTGACATAGCCACTTCGGATAACCGTATGACAATTCCTCAAAAAGGGTAAAGAAAGAGTTACCACATGAGCCAGCAATTCCTTCCTTGATACATAATACTATTGCACACTTCACAGATGACAGTATAGTGTAAACATAGCTTTTATATGCACTGGGAAACCAAAAAATTCACGTGACTCTCTTTATTACAGTACTTGCTTTATTGTGGTGGTCTGGAACCAAACCCACAGTATCTCTGAGGTATACCTGTGTATACCCAAAAGAAATGAAAACATGTCTACACAAAAACTTATACATGAATGTTCCTTGAAGAATTATTGTTAAGAGTCAAGTGGAAATGATCCAAATGTCCAACAACTGATTAATGGGTAAATAAAATGTGGTTTATTCATACAATAGAAGATTATATGAAGTACTGATACATGCTACAACATGGATGAACCTTAAAAACATTCTGCTAAATGAAAGAAGCCAGCGACCACATATTATATTATTCCATTTATAAGAATCGTCCCGGGGCCGCGCCGGGGCCAGCTGGTTAAGTTTGCACGCTCCGCTGCGGGGGCCCAGGGTTCGGATCTTGGGCACAGACATAGCACCGCTCATTAGGCCATGTTGAGGCGGCAATCCACATGCCACACCTAGAAGGACCCACAACCAAAATATACAATTATATACTGGGGGGATTTAGGGAGAAAAAAGCAGGGGGGAAAAAAAAAAAGATTGGCAACAGTTGTTAGCTCAGGTGCCAATCTTTAAAAAAACAAAAAGAATTGTCCGGAATAGTAAAAAATCCTTTGAGGCAGAAAGAAGATTAATGGTCACCAAGGGCTAGCTGTTTGAGACGAAATTGGGAATGAGTGCTAACGTGTACAGGGTTTCTTTTGGGGACAATGAAAATGTTCTCAAATTGATTGTGGTAGTAGGTGCAAACTCTGAATATATAAAAATCATTGAATGCGCACTTTAAGTGGGTGAATTGTGTGAATTATATCTCAAGCTGTTACCAAAAAATAAACCGAGGCAGAAAATCTTCCACATTTGATGAAAACTATAAACCGGCAGACACAAAATGCTCTGTGAACCCCCAAGCACACGAAAACTCCATAAAGGACAAAAAAGAAAACTACACGTCACATCTTAATCAAATGGCTTAAAACAAGTGATGAAGAGAAAATCTTAAAAGCGGTCAGAGGAAAAGTATTACATTTCACACAGAAAAACAAAGATAAAATGTCTGCAGACTTAGCTGTAAACAATGCAAGAGAGAAGACAGGGGAACAAAATCTTTAATGCACTGAAAGAAAAAAAATCCTGTCGATCTAGCAACTCAGCAAAAATATCTTTCAAAAATGAAGGCAAGTTTCAAGATGAAAAGAGCTATGGAGATGGATGGTAGTGAAGGTTGTGCACTATTACGAAAATGTTTAATAAAAATCTTCCCACAAAGAAAATTCTAGACCCACATGGGTTCATTGGTGAATACTACCAAACATTTAAGGAAGAACTAATATCAATTCTACACAAATTCATCCAGAAAACTGAAGACAAGAAGACACTCTCCCAACTCATTCTATGAGGCCAACATGACCCCGATACTAAAACCAGACAAAACTAGAACAAGAAAACTACAAACCAACATCCCTCATGAACATAAATGCAAAATTTTAACAAATCAAATCCAACAATCTATTAAAAGGGTACTTAATGAGCAAGTAAGATTTGTGGCAGGAAATTCAAGGTTTCTTGAACATTCAAAAGAAGAAAATCATTCAAAAATTTTTTCTGAGAAACATCTATAGATGCAGGAAAAGCATTTGACAAAAATCAACATCCATTCCTGATTTTTTTTTAAAAAACAAACCTTTCAGTAAGCCAAGAATAGAAGAGAACTCCTTCAGTCTTGATAAAGCGCACCTACAAAAAGCTTAGTGGTAAAGGAATGAACACTTTCCCCCTAAGATCACAAACAAAGCAAGAATGCCCACTCTCACCACTCCCATTCAACATTACACTGGAGGTTCTAGCTAATGTAATGAGATAAGAAAAATTAAAAGTTGGAAAGGTAGAAATAAAGCTATCTTTATTTGCAAATGGCACAATTATCTATGTAAAAATCCTATGGAATCTACAAAAATGCTACTAATAATTGAGTTCAGCAAGGTCATAAAAGATCATTATACAAAAATATCTATTTTATTTCTATATACTAGCAATGAACAGAAATTAAAATTTGAAAATGATAACATTTAC